TAAAATAGTCAAGATGAAAAAGTATGTTAAAGAGAATAAGTGTTTTACTTTTGGAAAGCAAAGGTGTACTGGATCCAGCCAGCAATGAGTTGCAGTGACAGAACAAGGGACCTCAGTGAGTCATGCTTAGTGTAATTATGCATTTGGGAGCTATAAATACTCCCAGATATATTCAGAGATGTGAAGATGTAGGCAAGGAGAAAGGAAAAAGTTGGAGCAGGGTGATATGGTATGACCCAAAGATGTATCAGTTCTCAAGATGGTCCTAACACACTTGCTGCCAGGTTCATATCTCATACTTGTATTTGACTGGAGTTGTTTCAGAGCTTGAAAAAAATCCTTTTGTTGAACTACAACTCCTAAAACACCACAGCTTGTTGGCCAGTAGCTGGGGCATGCTGGAAGAGGGTGTCAGATCTCCATTTGTGACACTGAACAGGAGCATGCAGCCATTTCCCCAACACATCTTTTTGCAAATATTCCTCACTGCCTCCCACGTGTCCCTTATGTGTATGTATTTATGTCCCCGATTGTTCCCTGAACACTTGCTGTGCAATGGCAAACTACTATCTTGTAGCCAATCTGAATATCCTTACTGATATTCTCCAATTGTCTTGATTTGGCAGGGATGGTCTTGATTAGTCCTCTGTTTTCAGTTGTTTTTAAATGTCCCATTTTCTCTCTCCTATTCCCACTTTCCCCTTTATCCTCAATTTACTTCGATTGGTGCAAATTGAGTTCAGAGTACCAAAGGGATTTGCACTCAGTTAGCTCAGTAGGGGGGAGAAGAGAGGAGAGGGAGGGATGAATATTTTCCTTCCCAGTAGGCTCAGGCAAAAGTGAACTATTGCCATTCCTATCCTTGCTTCTGATTTCTTCCTCAGAAATAACCTTTGCCCATTAGACTACACTCCAATGCTGCTTGGCCACACTTGTGCTGTTTTTCATCTATGAAATGTTGGAGGGCATACTACCTATTTATTTGTGGTCTAAGTAAATCAGCAAGTGGAGACAGTGGAATTAAGAACAGCTATTTCATAAAACCATTTTCTACTACAGTGGATGTGTCTGAATGTATCTACAGAGCACGATAAGCAGCATCCCAAGTGCTCTGGGAGAAAGACATCAGATTAATATTCATTTCACGTGGCTGCAAGAAGGAGAACACAGACTCCCGAGAAAATGACTGCTTGCAATTAAAAAAAAGAAACAAAACCTAAAAGAACTTGCTTGAAGCCACAATGCCTCTTGGAAGGCAATGGGATAATATTTCAGTCTTGGAGCTCTGACACATGTTGTGACAGCCAGTGGCAGACATGCCAAGAGCTTCATTCCATAAATCATATATCGAGAAAAGGAGGCCTCTGTGCTCGGTAGTAGCAGTGGTGGCGGCAGCAGAGGCTGTTTCTTCTTTTTCTTGGCTGCCTCACTTGGATGGGGTGGAGAGAGCCTTAAGCTTCCGTTAGTAGGACCTACGGAGAAAGAACATCACATACGAGAGAGTTCCAGCTCCTGCTTTGTTAAATGAAACCAAGTCCATGTAAAGACTTCCTTTAAAACAAAAACAACTGTAGTAGTGTTTCAAACATGAGGATTCAGCAGAATTCTGTTTTCATTTTTTTTTTTGGCAGCATTTTTCAAGTGTGTTTTTTCTTCTCGTAGACCAGGCCCATCAGTTTGGGATGGAAACAACAATACAAGTATGTGTGTGTGTGTGTGTGTGTTGAAGGGGAAGAGGGAGAAGAAATAGTACCTTTAGCATTTTGTCAAATACTGCGAGTGGGGGATGAGTGGTTCCAGGAAAGAATATATTCCCTGTGTTTACTTTTATAACAATAAATCTTCCTTCCCTCCTTAGTATGAAATTTAAAATCACTGGTGTGATTGGCTATTGCATATTAGTAGCACACCAATCTGCTACTATTTTCACCCTCCTATCTCTTCCTAGTTCTGCAATGCTACATTCTCCCATTACTGTGTGCATTGGCTAGGGTTTACAGATCTCAGGGTCCTTCCCATCTTCTCCGCTCCCTAGTGGATGGGAGGAATCTCAAGGTGAGAGCACTGTCTTGAAAATTACATAATTTGAATGTTCTTAGCCTTCTGTTGCTGCAGGCTGCCTTTGAACAGCTCCTGCGGATTGTTTGCAGTTCAAAGTACAGCATGGAAAACTTTCTTTCATTGGAGTACAACTCTCATGTGTCCTTAAAAGCTCTGCTTGAAAAGTGTTAAAGCTAAAAAAAAAAAAGTATACTGTATATATGTGTGTCTTCTGTTCGATGTGCCACTTATAAAATCTAAACAAAGAAATATTTTCTGATATGCTAGACTTATATTATCTGAATTATCTGCTCTGATGGTCTGTAGCTGATGCTTTCTGTATCATCTTTTGTGACATTGCTGGGGGGAATCCTAGGCTTCAGGTTAGTATTCTGGTGAGCAGAAGCAGGGATGTGAAATCTCAGGGCATGGGATCAGTGGTGTCATTAGGGGCTGCAAAAGGTATGGACCACACCAGGTGACGCCCCAGAGAAGGATTGACACCTGGTTTGGCCATCCTCCTGCTCTGGTAGGGGGATGTGTGTGCACTGGTGCTGCTTCAATGGGCGTTGGTCCCTTCTCCACTGCTCAGCCCTCTCCCAAGGAAGAAGCCAGGCAGTGAAGGATGAAGAGGGGTGGACACCCCCCTAAAGGCTCTTGCCCAGCTTTCTCCCTGAGGAGGAAGTTGAGCAGTGGAGGTGGAGGAGGGGCGAGTGCATCACTTCCTTCCCCTCCTGCTGCCTTACTTGTCCAGCTGTCCTTCAGCTGCCCTGGGTTGGCAGTAGTAGCGTCACTAAGGGGATGGATGGGGTGCAGACTGCACCAGGTGACACCCCAGAAGAAGAGTGACACCTGGCCAGTGCACCCCTCCCTTCCATGTGGTGGTTTACTCATGAGTAAAATGGTGCACGGCAAGGAGGGAGGGTGATCTGGGTACCTTCTCAACCATCATTTTATTTGCAAGTAAAGTGGTGTATGGCATTTTACCCATGAGTAAAATGGTGCATGGCAGCAAGTTGAGGGGGTGTGCCCTTTTGGTTACACTGCTGCAAGCTCTTCCCCCTGCACTGGGTGACACCTGGTGCAGAAATGCCACTGGTTGGCAGTGAGGCAAATGAGACAGTGGAGGCAGTAGGAGAGAAGCAGAAGCACTTCCACTGCCACTGCCGGCAGCCCTTACAAGGTGTAGCTGGGTCATGGGCAGCCAGGGAGGGGGACAGATGAGTGAGGCAGTGGATGAGAAGGCAGGCCACTGCTACCCCCTCAGGGTGGTGACACCATTGTGTGGGAAGAAATTGTGGCAGTGCATCTCCCAGAGGGCTCTAGAGAGGCAAAATTGGCTTTCTCAATCCCGCCCCCCCCCCTCAGCTATCCTAAAGGGCATTGCTCTTGTGTAAGGAATTATCTTACGAGAAAACTCTATGAGGAGAGAGAAAACTGGTTTCTTACTTTAAAAGTGACAGAATGAGCTTTGCGATGCTGCTCTCACAGAAATGTGGTGCTGTGGGAGACACAGGGAGTGCATATAATATAGTCTGTCATATAAGAGTACTTAAAATAAACTGGTAGAATTTGAGAACAGAAAGCCTGGAGGAGTCATAACCCTCTATGCTGTTTCCCATCCTCGCTGGGATTAATACATGAAAACGGGAACTAGATCTGAGTCATCCACCTACTGATAATATGGAGACCTGTGAATAACTGGATCCTCTTCATCCTTCTTGTTTCAATTTATTAGACACCCTTACAAAGAAAAAAACTCAAAGACTAATTTAATTAAAATATATGCATGTGTGTGCCTTCAAATTGACTGTCAACCTATGGCAACCATAAATAGCAACATAGTAGCACATTAGAAAAAGTGTTGCCACTTGGAACATTCCATGCTATCTGACAATATTTCACTGATTCCTAGATTCTTGGACAGAATCTGAATAAATGATGCTGCAAAATTCCAGTCAGTAATACCTGATAGAGTGTGAAATCAAGATAATAATATTCATTTACATCTTTCCTCTTGAGAACTAATACTCAAGATAGTTCACAAGAATTAAAACTGATAAAGATAAAAATGTCTAGATAAAAATAATGGATTCAAGAGAACATCCAAATTATAAACTTGTTATCCAGTGCAATATATCCACAATAGGTTGAACATTAGTCATCTGGCTGGAAAGTCCACTCACTAACATTACCCCAGTCTTTGTTTCTACTGACCCACAGTTTATTGGCCTTCACATAGTCCACACATGAGGCCAGTCATAAATTGAGCACAGCACATCCCTTTTTCTGCTCACCTGAATACTAATTTGATAATTTCAAGCAGTGGACAAACACAGTAAATTCCCCATGCTTACAAATTTACATGTGGCCACAAGTTCAAATCAGGCAAAGATCTGGAGTCATTACTTGCTTCCTTACCCACAGACCATTTTTTCCAAGCCAACAAAGAACTTCAAATCCACAGTTTATCCTGGCATATTTGTAGGACCAGATATAGGCCTATTGTTGACATGAAACTCTGAGCTACTCCAGGCAAGGCAGCCTCGGCATATATCTTGATCCCCACTCATGAGGTTTTTGATGATACATTTATTAGCTCAGGCAGGGATACTGTTAGGCAGAAAGCACATTTATAGAATCCCAGCACTGTCTTGTGTTTTCCAAATCATGTGAGCTGTTGTATGGATTATCAAACCAAAGACATGCAGTTCTTTTATGTTGTGGTCCCTGCTCCATATCACACAGTCTACTCCCCAAGCTGTGCTTTAATTAATGAATAAAAGTAAAGGGTTCACAAAATGGAAGAGCTATCTGGCACAGTCTGGAAATGGAATTCCTGCTATTCCCCGCTTTATCAAAATGCCCAGGCAGGCTTGGTTCATCAGAAGTTATATAATGGCTGGGATCTTGTTGGAGACATGTCTTCTTAACTGGATTTATGTAGGCAGGAATTAGAAACCAGCATGGAGTAATGGTTTGAATGTTAGACTGCAACTCTGGAGACCAGGGTTTGATTCCCTGCTCAGTCATGGAACTCACAGAGGGCCTTTGCAGACTGCCAGAAATAGTGCACATTAAATTGAGGCACTGCCCTGGCTCAGTGCTAGGGAATCATGGGAACTGTAATTTATTGTGGCACCAGAGCTCTCTGACAGAGAAGGCTCAGTGTCTCAGAAAAAAAAAATACAATTCCCATGACTCCCTAGCACTGAGCCAGGGCAGTGCCTCAATTTAATGTGCACTATTTCTGCCAGTCTGCAAAGGCCTTGAGTGACCTTCAGCAGGTCACATACTCTCAGCCTCTGGGGAAGGCAATGGCAAACCTTCCCTGAACAAATCTTGCCAAGAAAACCCCATGATAGGTTCGCCTTAAGTAAAAAAATGACTTGAAGGCACACAACAGCAACAGTTGCATAATGTCCATATTTAGTAGAGGGCTGCTGTCACATTACTGCCTAGTAGATCCAGGAAAGTTAGGCACCAATGCACATCAGCCACTGTTACAATAGTGTCCCATTGCATGTCTTCACGACTCAGCACAGGGGTTTCTTAGTGCTTCTGCTATGTAGCTACGTGTATGTAAAGTGATGTTACATAATGTAACATGTCATACAGGACCTATTCATAATATAAAGTCATGGCAGACAGTGGTTAGAATATTCAACTTTACCATTTGTATCACAGCCACTTAATATGTGTCTGTGATATTCTGTGACTGTAACAACAATCATAATTATGTTAAGGAAAGAGTTGCATTTTCTAAAATATGGATTCTTAGTTATTGAATGCTCAGAAAATTCAGAATGCCTGCACCAGATGCATCTTTAGGAAAGACATCTGAATCATGCTTACTAGCTGAGTAACAATTGTGCATTTTCTGTGAAAAGGAGAGGTCTTTTCTGGAATGCACTGTTGCTCTCTGCATCATAAGGCACTCAGTGAGTTAACTTTGCATTGTGATATCATGTTCTGAGTTACAAGCCTCTGCCTCTTTGTAAGAATGCCACCCACATGATAGGGGAGAGCTGTCAAGCTGCAACATGCAGAAAGTACTTAGACACACCTCAAGCACCACTTTGCCTATCCTTGAAGTGTCTCATGTTCCTGAAACCTCAGCATGTTGAATGGAGATGCCGAGACCAGGTATAATAGAGTTTACAAACAATGTGGAAATAAACAAGCTTTGTGCTGTAGAATGGAAATGAACCCTACTGGAACATTGTTATCGCATGTTTCTTTGCATTTTTGTAATGGTATTTTGTAATGGTATTTTTTGGCGTTTGGGAAATTATCTATGCAGTACAAGAGTAACAAATAATGCCAACTGCATATTGTTCCTGGATACCTTTGTGTTTTAACTTAGTGTTTTTGATGCCCAATTGCTTCTACAGCTGTGTGCCTGGTTTTGTTTACTGTGGAGCAGGTACTACAAGGAGAATGTGGATGTCTTACTAAAGATGCAGAATGAATGATCTTAAATATGATGGAGCAGTTTGGACCTGGTACTGGGGACAAGCAAGCACTACCTTTCTTCCTTCTTTATTTGCTTCATGCTTGTTTTTGAATATGCCATTCCTGTAAGGTTTGGATCTTTATATATTGTCATATGTATGAGCACTGTTTGGTGTCACAAGGAACCAAGGCTGGCTCTGTAATGCAAAAAGAGTATACATGGAGTTAAGCCAGTACTTGCTAACCTTTTGTACTCTGGCGGTTTCTAATTAGATTCAAAGCACTGGACTATTCTTGACAAAGCCTCATCTGTGTGCACACAGAAGCAGGCAAATGCACACACATTCATTCACACAATGAAAACATGCCACATTTATTTCATTTAAAAATGTTGACTGAATTAGACAACATTGGATTTCCCATACTATTTAACCTTCTAAAGTCTTGTTTCACACAAATCCTCATAGATGACAAAAGGCACATATCTAATGAATGGTGAAAATATAATATGCCTCCTTTATGAAAGTGATACAGTTAGCAATTTTGCAGAGCCTGTTCCAGTATAATGCTCTATCTGGGCTTTATGTCAAGTCTGGATAGATATTCAAAAACATACAAGGAAGAGGAACCTTTAGCTCATGGACTGCATCTGGCCCTCCGAGCTTTTCTACCTGGCCCATGGAGGTCCAGGACAACTTCCATCCCTTCCATGTACTCCACTCTTTCCACTTGTCCCTGTTCCTGAGGCTGTCCTCAAGAGAACCCTTGGTACTGCATTCACTGAATGGAGAACTTGATTCCTTCTCTTCCATTTCTGTGAGAGAAAGTGCTAGCTGAAATATATCTGGATCCCTCACACTAGCAAAGGCAAAATGAGAAGGGCTCACTTCTCCATCCTGGACATGGCAAGGGGGAAAGGGTGCATTGGTGAGAAATGAGTTTTCAAAAATGAATGCACCTGTTTCTGTAGCTTAAAACAGAAATGGGGGAGAAAATAATGGATTTTTCATCTTCATGAAAGTTTTTAATGATGTAACATAATGCAAATGCACCCTCTCTCCTTCTCTCGCACTTTGCAGCATGCTATCCTTCCTGTGCATAAATGATATACTACAAGCCTTGTGTGTTGTCATCATGCTTCTCCGTCCTTCCTGCTTCTCCATCCTTCCCTCTCTTTGGCTCTTTTGCTTTTTGCTATCTGTTGCACTCCGCACTACTTGCTGCCACAAGCACCCCACCTCTGTTCCTTACAGAGTGCAAACTTCAGTGAGGAAAGTAGACAACAAAACAGGTGGGGAAAATATGTAGCAAATGAAAACACTAATCCCTTTATCATTCTTGGGAAAATGTCCTTAAATTACATGGAATCTCACTGGGAAAAGTGGTACTTTATGTTGCAATATGTCTCCTTTATAGCTGGTGTAGCTGGTGTAGCTGGTATGTATGTGTATGTGTATGTATGTGTATGTGTGTACATATGGGCACAAGTTGCATCCATTTGCTGTTGCCCACTTTTTTTCACTGAATGTGTCTGTCTGAAAAGAACTTTTCTCTAAGCATTTGATTTGCAGAAAAGACATCTTGGCCCACTGGTGACTGGAGTGCTCACAGTCCTGTGCAGAGAACAACAGGGTCAGATGGTCGAGGCAACCTTTAGTGAAAACTTTTAATGCATTGTTTCCTCTGAGACTCCCTGAGCCTTTATGGCTCCTTTAAAATGGAATTTGCAGCCCTGAAAGGCAGAGGGATTTATTTTATTGTGAACATATTTTCCTACTGAAAATGGTCCATATGTTTAAGTATTTGATGAATGCTACAGGACTTAATACGGTTTGCTCCAATTTTTGGGTTGTTGCATGGGTTTTTCTTCTTTTGAATAAGCACACAGCATGTGTATTGTGCATATAGCCACATGTAAGCTTTCCCTCATCCAGATGTTAATACTCATGGTAACTTCTCCCAAGTAAATCTTTTGCCAATAGAATAAGCAATCTCTTAACAATGACAGGAAGAACTGTTTTGTTTTGTTTTTAACGTGCTATGGCAGCGATTTAGACTTGGTATTAAGGAGGGCTGGGGAATCTTTGGCCCTACAGATGCTTTGGCCTACAACTCCCATCAGGCTGAACCATCATGTTTAATGGTAAAAAACTGTAGGAGATGTCATCTAAACATCTGGAAGTTTTCCAGTCCAAAAGGGAGTAGAAGTCAAAAAGAGCGGCCATGAAACAGTTATTTCTAGGTTGTCTATGGTAATATAAATCACCCAAGTAACTATTATTGAATGGATTCTAATTCTGTCACCTTAGGAGCCATGAGTAGAAAGTCCAAAATACTGAAAAATGTTCACTTCCTTCACTTGCTTTATGCTGCTCATCATAACATTCACTAAGGAACATTGCTTGACCAGGGTTCCCACAGTGGTTTGGTAGAGGCATTTCTATCAGCAGTGGAAATACCATCTTGTAGATTTCATTGACCTGAATAGGGAAGGAAAAGAAATTTGCATACACCTTTTTTAAAAAAGTGTGCCTAATTTGTGGCTTGCAAGAATAACAAAATGAAAGCATGCATGTACCCTTTAGTTTCTCATCACTGGGAGAAAATTATGTGCACCCAATTAAAAAAAATTACTCCCCCCCCCCCATTCCAATTTTACACAAGCAAATTATTCCAAATGTGTTTGTTTGAAAAAGGCACACAGGCAAACTTCAGTCACTAGGAACATGTGTAGGAAAATGCATAAAAATGTGTGCATTAGAAAAATTGTGTGCCAAAATAGGCACAAGGTTCTGTGGGGGAACAAAAAGAATCTTATTATCTAATATGGAACTTGAATGGGGTCAGAATGTTAGTAGGATTCTGGGGAATACAACAGAATGAAACTGGCAGATTTTCATATCCCTCTCCTGAGGAAGGGGTTATATCCAAAGGACATATCATTGTTAATGGATAGCTTTGTAGCCCCCAATGCTTTCACCTCCATGTCCTGAAGAACTGATGGACTCTTCAGAACTGTGTGATAGCTAGCTTGGTGGTGAAGTAGCTGTAGTGTGGTAGGAGAATTGTCAAAAATCACATCTACGTTGTTCTGCTGAAGTCCAAAGTCTAGTTCAGGGTTTGGCAAACCCTGGACTGTGGGCCGGGTGTGGCCCACGGAGGCCTTGGGACCAGCCCATGGCTGGTCCCGCCGCCGCCGCCACCACCCCACACATGAGCGTAGGTGCCATTTTGGCATCCAAAATGGTGCCTGCGCTTGTGCACGCATGTGCACGGCAGCGGGTGCCATTTTGGAAGGCCCAACGTGCTGGCGGCGTGTGCATGCGCACGACACCGGTGCCATTGGCCATTCCAAAATGGTGCCCACCGCTGTGCGCATGCGTGCGCAAGCGCGGTTGCAATTTGGGATGCCAAAATGGTACCTACGCTCTTGCGAGCATGCGCACAGTGCTGCGTGTCATTTTGGAAGGCCCCATAACTGCTGTGCCGTGTGAATTTGCACAGCGCAGCCATCATGGGGCCTTCCAAAATGGTGCCTGAACCGTGCGTGCATGTGCGTGTGATGCGGGGCACCATT